TTTTTTTTTTTTTTTTAGATTAAATTAATGAAAGGGATTATTTCCTGGAGAAATAGGGAGAACAAATGAAAGGATAGCCTCTTAACCCTGAGATGTATTTTTTTTTTTGACTTTGAGATCTCTGGAAGCACGAGGTGATTCCCAGCTGATRTRTGTGGGATATTTRCTTTATYWCCACCTCCCCAAGCTGATTTTYCCCCCAATTTCTCTGATTTTTAACCAAATTCTCCACTTACATCTCAATAACTTGAGCATTTACATATCAGAGGGCAAAACTTGACAAATTTTTGTGCCAAAGCAGAGCTGAGAGAGCACAGAGCTATTATTAATGAGCATTTTATCCAAATTATGCTCAGTCTAGGACAGATCTGGGTTGAAGAACAGGAATATCAGGTTGTGGAAGCTGCTTTTTAATAACAACCCCCTATTCTGTCCCCATCAGCTCTTCAAAAGAAGGAATGTGGAGTTGATCAATGAAGATGAATCCATGTTTGACAATCTCCTGGTGGATTCCTACGTCACCTCCACCACGTCTGGGGTAAGGGGATTCAGATAAATTTAATGGTTTGGGTGTGAAGAGATCCTGTAAAGGAGCTTTCAGAGAAATTTAATGTTTTGGATCTTGGGGTGATCCTGGAAATGGGGTTTCAGACAAATTTAATGTTTTGGGTGTGAGTTCAGACAAATTTAATGTTTTGGGTGTGGGGAGATCCTGGAAATGGGGTTTCAGACAAAATGAAGGTTTTGGGTGTGAACAGATCCTGGAAAGGGCCCTTCAGACAAATTTAATGGTTTGGGTGTGAGGAGATGCTGGAAAGGGGGCTTCAAATTTTATGTTTTGGGTGTGAGTTCAGACTAAATGAATGTTTTGGGCATGAGGAGATCCTGGAAAGGAGCCTTCAAATTTAATGTTTTGGGTGTGAAGAGACTCTGGAAAGGAGCTTTCAGACAAAATTAAAGTTTTGGGTATGGGGAGATCCTGGAAAAGGGCCTTCAAATTTAATGTTTTGGGTGTGAAGAGATCCTGGAAAGGGCCCTTCAGACAAAATGAAAGTTTTGGGTGTGAGGAGATGCTGGAAATGGGATTTCAGACAAATTTGATGTTTTGGGTGTGAGGAGATCCTGGAAAGGGGCCTTCAAATTTAATGTTTTGGGTGTGAGTTCAGGCAAATTTAATGTTTTGGGTATGGGGAGATCCTGGAAAGGGGCCTTCAAGTTTAATGTTTTGGGTGTGAAGAGACTCTGGAAAGGAGCTTTCAGATAAATTTAATCTTTTGGGTATGAGAAGATCCTGGAAATGGGGTTTCAGACAAAATGAAAGTTTTGGGTATGGGGAGATCCTGGAAAAGGGCCTTCAAATTTAATGTTTTGGGTGTGAGTTCAGGCAAATTTAATGGTTTGGGTGTGAAGAAATCCTGGAAATGGGGTTTCAGACTAAATTAAAGTTTTGGATATGGGGAGATCCTGGAAAGGAGCTTTCAGACAAAATTAAAGTTTTGGGTATGGCAAGATCCTGCAAAGGGGCCTTCAAATTTAATGTTTTGGGTGTGAAGGGATCCTGGAAATGGGGTTTCAGACAAATTTGATGTTTTGGGTGTGGGGAGATCCTGGAAATGGGGTTTTAGACAAAATGAAAGTTTTGGGTATGAGGAGATCCTGGAAAGGAGCTTACAGACAAAATTAAAGTTTTGGGTGTGAGGAGATCCTGGAAAGGGCCCTTCAGACAAATTTAATGTTTTGGGTGTGAAGAGATGCTGGAAATGGGGTTTCAGATAAATTTAATGTTTTGGGCATAAAGAGATCCTGGAAAGGGGCCTTCAGATTTAATGTTTTGGGTACAGGGAGATCCTGGAAATGGGGTTTCAGACAAATTTAATGTTTTGGGTGTGGGGAGATCCTGGAAAAGGGCCTTCATTTCCATCTTAATATTCAAAATGCTCTTTCATTTCCAGCTTGATATTCAAAATTATCCTTCATTTCCATCTTAATATTCAAAATTCTCCTTCATTTCCAGTTTAATATTTAAAATTCTCCTTCATTTCCAGTTTAATATTCAAAATTTCCCTTCATTTCCAGCTTAATATTAAAAATTCTCCTTCAGCATTTTCCATTTTTATCCCAATCTTCCCCCAGTATCATAAATGTTATACAGTGAACTGGAAAAGTCTACCAGGAAATAAATACTGTGCTGATTTTGAATTTTTGGATAAATCTGTACCAGATTTGGAATTTTTGGATTTCTATCCAAGCCCAAATCGTGGTTCGGGCGTCACGTCTGTGATACCTTAAATAAAGCATTAAATTTATAAATKAATAAAATAATTTCTCAGTCTGAAATGGAGCCATTTCTGTCTTTTCTGCATTTTTTCAGGAGGGTTTGATCACAGGAGAGATGGTGGAGATGCTTTTCTCAGAAGACCCCGACCTACAGTTAGCAACCACTCAGAAATTCAGGAAATTACTCTCCAAAGGTAAAAAAAATTCCTTCCTACCCCTGGATTTAACAGAACCCTCATTTTGTGAGAATTTATGATTGATGTTTCTCTTTTGGGGGGAGAAATCCATAATCTGGAAATGTAATAATTTCTTTCTGATGATTTGCTGTTGTATGAATTGGACAGAAAATTATTTTAYTGAGCTGCCCTGATGATTTCAATCTAATTTGAGATAATTAAATTAATATTCAGGGTTTTTACTCTTTTCTCTTGCTGTTTCAGAGCCAAATCCTCCRATAGATGAGGTGATAAACACTCAGGGAGTGGTGGAAAGATTCGTGGAATTCCTGAAAAGAAGTGAAAATTGCACATTACAGGTAAAGGAAATTCATGTTTTCAATCCTTCAGATGTGGAGCTGCTCCAAACCTTTAAGAATCCTCAGGTTCTGTCAGGGGAAAGTGATGAAAGTGATTTTTTTGAACCCAAAAAATGCAGGTGGGATGATCTGGAGGAGAAGACAAAGGAATTCTGGAATGSTCAGGCAAAAAAAAAATTAAATTCAAAATTGCTCTGAATTTAGAATTCAAAAWTTGAAATTTTGCTCTAAATTTTTGGAAAAACTGGCAAAAATAACCCAATTCAGCTGCAGCAGGAGGAAGTTTGGCCTTCCTGGAGCTGATATTTCTGCTGGAGCCATGGCATAAACATTTAGGAAGAATTTGGGTGAAGAAAAACCTCCATTGCTGGAGGATTTTAAATAGAAATATTTGAAATGGGTTGGACAGTGCTGATCCCTGAAATTTCTTCCAGCTTGGTAATAAATCCTGATTTTTTTGGAGGGGTTAAAAAGAATTCCTTGCATGGAATTTGATCCAAATCATCATCYCTGGCCTCATCAGAGGGGCTGAATTTCCAGGAGAATTGGATGGAAATTATTTTAAACCAAAGAAAAAAGTTGGTAAAATCAGAAAATTTCTGCTCAGCTTGCCYAGAACTCKCAGCWTTTTTAGGATATTGGATAAATGCARAAAAATTTCTMTTCTTTGTGTGGTTTTTGCATTTTTATTTTTATTTTTCTTGCTGGGAAATGGCTGTGGGGTTGAAATTATGTTTTTCTTTGCTCATTCTCGGAGCTGCTGTGGCTTCTGAGAAAGTTTTCAGCAATTGTGAAAATTCTTTGGTTGCTCAAGAAAATAAAAATCTTTGACTTCTGAGCTCTTCTCTTCCTTTCTCTCATAAAATCTTCATAGCAGAAGCTGAAGGAATTTTCGATAGAATAAAACCAGCTTGATTCCAGCAAAATATTTGTCATTAAAATTTTTATTTTTCACTTTTTTTTTTTCAGTTTGAGGCAGCGTGGGCYCTGACAAATATTGCCTCAGGCACTTCCCAACAAACCAAAATCGTCATCGAGGCCGGGGCAGTTCCCATCTTTATTGAGCTCTTAAACTCAGACTTTGAGGATGTTCAGGAACAGGTGAGGATGGTTCCTTCCTTTGGGGTCCAAAAATGTTAAAAACATTTTAAATTTTATAATCTTAAAAACATGAATGTGTTAAAAATGCTGTTTAAATTGAGTGATCACAACTGGTTCCAGATTTGTGTGGAAATGGAGATGGAATTGGGATGTAAAGGGTCAAACTTTGTTTTCAGTGATAATATGGTGAGGGGGTGGCATCCTAAGGAAATATTTGCCTCAAAAAAGACAAATTCACTGATTAAAATAAATTTTTTCCCAATAAATTTCTGAAATTGAGCCACAGGAGTTTGAGCCAACTCCACATACAACTGGGAAAAGCTTTTCTCTCTCCTTTGCTAAATTTCCTTAATGATTTCAGAGCATTGTGTCTCTCAAACCTCAATGTGCTCATAGAAACCTGGTTTTGAGGGGAAAAAAAATAGGAAAACTCAGTTTGGGTTTGTTTCTCCAGGATTTATGTGGAAATGGGGATGGAATTGGGATGTAAAGGATCAAACTTTGTTTTCCATGGAATTATGGTCAGGTTGCTGTATGGCAGGAGATGGATTCCTAAGGAAATATTTTCCCCAAAAATGACAAATTCACTGATTAAAAGAAACTTTATCCCTATAAATTTCTGAAATGGAGCCACAGCAGTGTGGGCCAACTCCACACACAACTGGGAAAAGCTTTTCTCTCTCCTTTCCTAAATTTCCTTAATGATTGCAGAGCTTTGTTTGTGCTCTCAAACCTCAATGTGCTCATAGAAACCTGGTTTTGAGGGGAAAAAAAATAGGAAAACTCAGTTTGGGTTTGTTTCTCCAGGATTTATGTGGAAATGGGGCTGGAATTGGGATGTGAAGGATCAAACTTTGTTTTCCATGGAATTATGGTCAGGTTGCTGTATGGCAGGGGTGGAATCCTAAGGAAATATCTGCCTCAAAAATGATAAATTCACTGATTAAAATAAACTTTTTCAGTATAAATTTCTGAAATTGAGCCACAGGAGCATGAGCCAACTCCACAAACAATTTCCTTCTCCCTTCCCACATTTCCTCAATGATTTCAGAGCTTTGTTTGTGCTCTCAAACCTCAATGTGCTCATGAAAACTTGATTATGAGAAAAATCAAGCAATAGTTCCTAGGAAAAATCAGTTTGGGTTTGTTTCTCCTGGAAATGGGGATGAAATTGGGATGTAAAAAATCAAACTTTATTTTCCATGGTCAAGCTGCTGTATGGCAGGGGGTGGAATCCTAAAAAAATATTTTCCCCAAAAATGACAAATTCCCTCATTAAACTGCCTCCAGAGCACTGATGGCATTATTTCCCTGGAATTACAAGAAAATTACAATTTAATTATAATTTCTTATCTCTCTACCTGTTCCTCCCTCATTAAAAACCCTGAATTGTGGAATTTTTGCCATTTTTCAGGCTGTCTGGGCGCTGGGGAACATCGCTGGGGACAGCTCAGTGTGCAGAGATTACGTCCTCAACTGCTCCATCCTTCCTCCCTTGTTAATGTGAGTGACCAGGAACAGTTTTTGGGGTTTCATGATGCCAAAAAAAGCAATTTTGGAGCTGGACCCACAGATTTCCTGGGCATTACTGGGAACTGAACCACTGGGAGAGGAGAAATTCAGTGTTTTACTTTGAATTCAATATTCTACTTTGAATTCAATATTCTGTTTTGAATTCAATATTCTACTTGGAATTCCATATTTTGCTTGTAATTCAATATTTTACTTTGAATTCAATATTTTGCTTTGAATTCAGTATTTTACTTTGAATTCAATACTTTATGTTTCATTCAGTATTCTTCTTTGAATTTGATATTTTACTTGGAATTCAATGTTTTACTTTGAGTTCAGTTTTTACTTGGAATTCCAGATATTTTGCTTTGAATCCTTCGAGATTTTGCTTCGAATCCCTGGAGATTTTGCTTTGAATCCTTTGAGATTTGACTTGGAATTCCATATTCTACTTTGAATTCCATATTCTGCTTTGAATTCAAGGTTTTTTTACTTGGAATTCAAGATTTTTTTTACTTGGAAATCAAGATATTTTTTTACTGGGAATCCCAGTTTTCATTTGGAATCCCAGATTTTACATTGAATTCCAGATTTTACTTGGAAATCCAGATTTTCCTTTGAATCCTTCGATATTTGACTTTGAATCCAAGATTTGACTTTGAATTCAATATTTTGCTTTAAACCCTTCGAGATTTGGCTTTGAATCTTTCAATATTTTATTTTACTTTTAATTCCATATTTTCCTTTGAATCCTTCCAATTCCCTCTTGTTTTCCCCCTCAATAATCCCAGATTTTTCTCCCCAGGCTCCTCACCACGTCCACCAGGCTGACCATGACACGAAACGCGGTCTGGGCTTTGTCCAACCTGTGCAGAGGCAAAAGTCCTCCTCCAGAATTCGAGAAGGTGAGGAGAAATTTTCCAAAATGTTTATTT